TATTTTATAGGTTTAAGAATTGATTTAATCTTATGTTAACCATAAAATTAGGGGTTACATTTCTACTGTACTTACTTGTGAAAGTTTATCGTACTTGGCTTAAAGTTTACGTCTCGCGATAGCCCACACATAACACAATGAATCAACATTTTTTAATATTGAATTTTTATAAATGCAACTACCATAAAGCAATCACGACAATTCAAATTTAACCAATGAATTTGACTCACGGAGGCTTCTATCTTCATGATTCGACTGTAACAACGTACATTATAGATGTGCGGAATAATCTTTCACATGGTTCTTATTTTGCATATTACAATCCTGTACAACTTCCGTCCAGAAAACTTTCGACCAATAGAAAAATGATAGAAAAGGACAGAACAATCCTCTCTCGACTTGCTCTCTCTTTCTATCCCCAAAAAAACACTTACGTGTAAAAAACTACGCCAAGTACAGGATTGCTGTGAATTCCTCTAACAAAAAGTATTGATATCATATTATTGAGGCCAAGTACATAAGTCACTACATGTTTTCCTATTATATGATCTAGCACTGGCCCATCATTTTAATTATATTTTCAATATTTCCTATAACGTTTTCGCTACTTTTTTATGTTACTACTGCTTCCCGTATTTAATTATGACTTAATGGTGATTTAATAATTAATAAAACTTTAGACGATTCCTTATCGAGTACTACTTGGCGGGTCAGTGCATTTCTTGATATAAATTTGGTACAAAACCAGTACCAATTTCCTATAGAAAGCATATTAACAATAACTCGTCAAAAATAAACACGGTAAAAGCTTAATAACAAACATACAGCATTAGAATACTATTCTTTTGTGGGCTTGTTGCGTAGAGTTATCTAATTTAAATAGAGTTGTCTAATTTAAATTGATGTTGCTTGCAGAAACTTCGTAATGGTGTTCGAGCTTGCTATGTTTTGGGATGTCGTGAAGAATTGAATTTCGGTTTTGTGAGTAAGTATTAAGTTTATTGAAATATAGTGCGCTTATAATTTATATTTTTGATATCTAGTTTACAGGTAAGTGATGCAAATACCTGCAAAGACAGTTCGTTTATCAATAGGATTGTTTCATTTAAATTTACGTTGTTTGCAGAAGCTTCCTAATGGTTCGAGCATGTTGTGTTTTGGGATGCCCTTCCGGGGCTAATATGACGATTCCGTTTCCGAAAAATTTCTGACGAGAGAAGGGCGGCATGGTCATCAAAAATTGGCGATGATATATTAAAAAATACTGCATCAGAAAAGCACACAGGTATGACAGAAATATTTATTATAACCTCACTCGATTCATTGGCTCTCTTTATTCGATGCTTTGAGCTGTACGATTTTTCGTGTTATTTGTATAGTTAGCTCGACACGAGCTCGAGCAGGTGGTGTTGATAAAGCAAACGTAATAGACCAATCGTGAGCGAGGACGTCACAGCGTACTGCCTGGTGCTGCCACGCTTTACTTGGCGTCGCAATATAGTATAGTATTTCTTTGTTTCCTGACCATTCCAGACATTTCCGCAGCCTTCGTGAGGAATTGAATTTCGGTTTTGTGAGGAAGTATTAAGTTTATTGAAATATAGTGCGCTTATAATTTATATTTTTGATATCTAGTTTACAGGTAAGTGATGCAAATACCTGCAAAGACAGTTCGTTTATCAATAGGATTGTTTCATTTAAATTTACGTTGTTTGCAGAAGCTTCCTAATGGTTCGAGCATGTTGTGTTTTGGGATGCCCTTCCGGGGCTAATATGACGATTCAAGTTTCCGAAAAATTCTGACCAGAGAAGGACGGCATGGTCATCAAAAATTGGCGATGATATATTAAAAAATACTGCATCAGAAAAGCACACAGGTAT